TTATTAAAGTAAGTACTGCAGCCTGACATTAATCAGCAAACCTCTAAGTAGCTAGTAATGCTCAGGTAAACTGCTACATAAAATGAAAAACTGATAAACGTTGGAAATAAAATAGTAAAAAAGAAACATGTAAGAATAAAACCAATGAATAAAGTTATGCAGTGATATCAGTTTATAAATTTATGCCAAAAACTAGGTTGATTTTCAGAAATTTGGATTGGGGATAAATTAGCTTTAAACTGATTTAGTGTAGGATTAAATTAATGAAAGATTAATTTCAATCATAAATCTTTAATCGATGATTGAAGACAACAACTGGATACGGAGGCCGTTTTCGGAAAGTTGTTCTGTTAACAGATTTCTCCTCCTGAGCCGAGGAACTCTGCTGCTCCTCCAGAGTGATCATGGGACTCCTGGCTGCTTAACGATTGAAAAAAATAATAATTTCACGTTGCAATCATGTGCAACTCCCTCTTGGTCTATCTCCTTAAATTCCATTGTAATACTTGCAGTTAGTGGTTCTAACGTGATAAAATGTAAAACACGTTAAAGTAGTATGAATACTTGTACAAGCATTTGTCAGATTTTTACATTTGCATGGTTCCTTTTTTGAATTTTTGCAAAGTTGCATTCAAGTTTGTGTGAGAGTCAGTGGTTTCATTTGTGAAAAGTCTGTTTGCTGCAGCAAACAGACTGAGGTATGCCAGAGCTCCCCTGGAGAGTGTGCAGAGGTGTGTTTGTGCATGTCGGGGTTAGGAAAAGAGGAGGAGGAAACATGAGAAGAGTCTCATTGTTGCAAGAGGAGTTGTAGAAGAGGACGTACTACTCTGCTCTCCCATGCTATTTGTCTTCTTAAAACCTTGAACTGCTACATGCACTGTTGTAGGATGATATGTAAAAATCATCCGCGGCGCTTATCCTCACTGGTTTCATCTATTCTTCATAGCGAACCAGAATTCACCCCAGAACCTGCTGCTGAATCTTTCACCTGCACGTTTTTGTACGCCTCAGCTTAGACTAAAAAAAAGCAGCATTGTCAGGTCCAGATCAAAGACGTGAACAAAATTTTAAAACAACATTCTAAAATCACATATAAAGCTCTGCCATGACAACCACAGGGGATCCTAAGCGGTCAAGTAATGCTGCCTAAACGTGTTACTTTTCACCAACCAACATACATAATTTATCATACTATGGTGGGAATGTGTATGTTTTTTCGCCATTTTCAGAAAACACTAAAATGTTTTTGTTTTTTTTAACTCTTAGTGGTTGGGTGAAGCCGCTTATTGTCAAACTATATTTAGTCTAATGACAATGGAAACTACCCAAATGATCCTAGTTAAATGTTTATATACCCTGGCCACTTTGGTCACACAAGTTGACACAAACAACTTGTGTGCATGCTAAAGGTAGCCATCCTTCCCTGTGATCTGTTTGCTTATAATCAGTTCTTAAACGCTGTAGTAAAACTGCGGTATAGAAACTTTTAAATAAGGTTGTTTGTAAAGCTTCTATTCGCCCAACAACTAACCATGAGTGGAAAAAGCTTTTTATTGTTGTTCACATTCTCTGACAAATGGCCAAAACAATACAACTTTCCGCCATACTATGTACACTTATGAGCGCTTCAATTTATATGTTATTGACCATCTGAATCAAAAGTAAAATCCTCCAAACATAAGGCCGTACCGTCGTGAGTTGCAGAATTTCCCAATCAGCAAGGGACCGCAGAGAGATTCGACGGCTGTTTGTGGCCTGGATTTGCCAAGCAAATGCAGAAACATTATTAATAATGTATGCCTCTTTTTTCCACATAATGTGTGGAGATTTGATATTATTCTCTCTTAGGTTCCAAGTTTGTCAGAAAACTGATCTCTCCAAGAATGTTTCATCTGTTCTACACTGAATCTTAAAGACTAAATCAGCTTCAGAAGTGTTGGACCGGCTGAGTTTAGTCTGAATGACTGTTATATAGCAGCCAGAGTGATGGCTGAGTATTATTTATGATAAACTGAAAGATATGAACAGCTACACTGAAAAATATGCCTTTCAGACACCATGGAAATCTATTTTTTCTGCTACTGTATGCTTCAAACACAACACAAACATGTTTAGAGCATATCTCATTATTTAGCTTCTCTCATCCATTCTAGTTTTTCTTTTTTACTTTTTTACTTTCTCGCTGCATTTCTTTTTCTTAAACCCGTTGGCTCCCTTTTTAGATCTTTCTCTCCCTTTAATTGGTCCATATTTTCCTTCTGTCTCCCTGCACATAAACTCCTCTGATATTTAGTGAGGAAGAGGTGGAGTTGTCTGCTCTGCAGCCTTTTCAAGTTTAATGAAATAAGAGAGTGCAGAGAGGTAGCGAGACAGAGAAAAGAGAGCAAATATAAGCCTATAACATCAGACAAAGCTGGAACAACAGAACAGCAACAACTACAGAGTGGAAAAGGGAACCAGATAGAAAGACAGAAGGAGTACAAAGGCCACGTTTGTTGTTAATCATTGTGCTGCTGCAAGTGCTGCAGAAGCAACACAAGGACTTCCTCTTTGACCTTCCTCAAAGTGTTTGCTCCTGTTTGACATCCGTCTAAAGTTCAACATCCCCTTAATTTCAACGTACTCATGTTTGCATTCGCAGACATCCAAAATAATTCTCACGCCTTGAAATTTGGAAAAAAAATTGTTCACGTTGCAGCAACCACAAGCTTCAGTGTATTTTATTGCAAATTGTATGTGACAGACCAAACACGAAGCAGTGTAACCTTATTATGGAGTATGAAAAGCTATGCTGAGGTTTATAAAGCGAAAAGGGTTTTGTGTAACTCTTTATAAGTTGGACCGTGGTGCCTTAGTGCAGCTCACATGCATCTGTGGGCATCTGATGTCTGAACAACCTGCGGTTGACTTGAAAAACCCTCCGACTGCTCAAAAAAAAAAAAAGAAAAAAAAAATCACACGGTTGACTGAGAGCATCACTGACAGTCATGGAAATCTTACATAATGTGATGCCACACTGGGAAGCATCTAATATGATACGATCTGATGGAACAAAACGGCAAGTTGTCCTTTACAGTTACCATCAATCCTGAGATCAAAGGAAAATCCTGGCAGTGCCATTTTGTGGTGTCAAGTAATGTCCAAGTTCTTTTTCAGATGTTTATTTATTTAATTTGAACCTTTTATTTAACTTAGCTCTTCTTTATAGAGAGCAAGCTATATTGTAAGAATCAGTGCATCTTGTCATCAATAGGCTAACTGAAAAATAAGCTAGGTGTGTTTCATATGTTTTATTTTTTTTTTTTTTAAATCGCTCATCCTATTGATGATGGACGGTTAGTTCTTGAAACCCTACTGTAAATTATGAAAATGTAGTTTGGGTATTGACCTTAAAAATTGGAGTTAGGATTTTTGTCCCCATAGTAAAGCAGTCCTGGTCACAAATTAATCACAAGGGATTATAAGAATCTAAATCAAACGATAGATAGCATTTGTTGGGTTGGAGTGTAAATTGGTGTGAGGAAATGTGTGATTGGACAGAAAAAGGAAGGAATATAGATTGTTAATGCAAAATGATGAAAAGAAAACATAAAATGAGTATAGCTGAATGAAGAGAGCAGGCTTTAACCAGAGCAGACTCAGAAAACAGGTGACACCCCTGATAATGGGTCAGTGGACGAGTCGTTTTGCTTGGTATGAGTGGCAGAAGTCATTGCAGTGACACTTATAATGTCACACTTCCATGTCAGCTGCTGGCCTTTTTCTAACCCCATGAAAGCAGATGGGAGAGAAAAAGTGTGTAGTGTGACTGACTCTGTCCTTTCTTTACAACCTAGAAAACAAACAATAGTTAAACAACTTTGTGCTTTTTACTGGAAATCTTTATCAGTGTAATTTCAGGACAATTGTTCACGGGGTTGATCAACACTTATACAGTTATTGTAGTTTTATTGCTGAAGACTGAAATTTCCAATAAAGTTTGACTAGAAAAACATAATGTGTCATTATCAAGCATAAGGCACTGAGTTTGCAGCTGGTAAATAATATTTTATCTAATATTTTAAACATGCTACTCTAAAAACATTTAGAAAGTTTTTTTTTTAAAAACAAAAAGATGTTCAACATTGTTGCTATGCATGAAAGTCCAAACAGTTTCATTCGTAGCACTTGGCCATAATCCTTTTCTTTTCTCTTCACAATCATTCATTGCTTATTGATGCATCACATTCAGTGCAATCCCACTAAAACAATTATTCAAGTTTGTCTTTGTAATGATGCCAAAACTGAAAATACTTCTATTAATGAGATAAGTTAATTTAATTATTTTTTTAAAAGCATTGGGAAAAATAACATCTAAACTTATACCAATGTCGCTGCTGGGAGCTTTAATTTTATACTCCTCGTTTAAGTGTCTCCCTTTTCATCTTTTCTCTGGATTTTTAATGAATTAAATAATTCGTAAGGAGATTTATTGCACCAGAATGTGGAGCTGATTTGGTAAACAGAAGCAAGCCTCTCATATACAGAACATAACACACACACATGCACACGCGCACACACACTCAAAGTGAAATCAAAGCAAAGCTGTGCAGTCTCGTCAATGACAGTCAAGGACACAGTGGCATCCAGCTGACATGATTATTCTGGAACTGCCCAACAGTAAAGGACGACTGCTAATGAACTGAAAGACCTCTTACTTACTCTCAGATCATCTCTCCCTGGGTTTTTATTTCCATTTTTGTACGATGTGCATAAGTAATGCTTGTATGCGTCTTGCACACAAATCCTACGGGGCATTTTCACAAATGCACCTGACATATATCATACATCTCATCGTGTTTTTTTCCCCTTCCACCCTTTCTTTGCCGTGTCAACTGCCTGATATACATACGTACATCTCTTTGCTCTAAGTATTATCCCCTTAAATTGCAAGGGCCAATTTCCTGGCATCATGATATGGAATAACACAATTCACATAAATCTACTACACCTGTTTCTCACTGCTTTTTGATTCATTTGCCCAGTTCCACAGTGTGTTCTGATTTATGTGGATCAGAACATCAGTACATGCATGAGGTTGTTTTTCTTACTGTTTTAGGGAAACGTCTGATTGCTGATGTGAGATTATTGCATGTCACTACAGCTGTAGCTTGAGGGAGTGTTTGGTTTGAGGACTGTTCTCAACAGGAGAACAAAAATGGAGCCTGAGAGGAAGCTAAACATTATGGTTGCATGGCATTTATTACAGCTGTTCCTCTTCAGCTTTTTTTTTTCTTTTTCTGGAAGTTACTGTAACCTAATTCTGACTTTGAGCAGACTTTGAGTTTCTCTTTTGGTCCCCACGTTTGTGTGGCCACTGAAGCAGGCTGTCTGCCACTGGACAGAGGTCACCTCCTGCCAGGAACATCTGGAAGGAGGACATGAAGCACGAGCCTTTAGATATTTATTTACAGAGCTGTAAATGTCCATGCTATTATTTATATATGTGCTAATTTACAAGCCCTGTTTTTAACTTTGTCCTTAGTGCACACAGTTACACAGCCATGATTAATTCCTCTTTGTGAGAACGTAGAGTACCGGCTGGAGATGCACTGATCAGAGATTTTGTGGCCAATTTCAGATCTCAGATTTAGCATAATTAGAGCAGTTTGAGATTATAGAAAAGGCTGCCAACATTTCCAAATCCAGTGGTCTGTACTTAACCTTGGTGTTATCAACTGATTTGATGGCAGGGTCAACTTTTCCATTTGTTAAGTCAAGAAAATGACCCCAACGCAGGTACAAGTTGATGTCTTTTGGCAGACCGGCGTTTTTTGTACCCATAAGGTCAGCTGTGAATAAACCAATTGTTTGGAGGAAGATGAGTTAATGACACACTTAGTTAGCAGCACTTAATTTCACAGATTACCTAAAATCTAATTCCTCTTCAAGGAAGTTAAAGATTGTGTAAACAGTTTCAACAGGTGTTTCACCAAAACAGGATGAGACACAATAACATCTCAAACCCTCACAGATGGCACCAATTCTCTTTTTTTTTCATCATAAATGAGAAGTGTGAGCTTAAGAAAGAAAGGGTGTAAACTGTTGGTTGCAAACTTCCTGTGAAACCTGAGAGATGGTCTTTGAATTCGAATACTGCCGCAGTTGCCTTGGGGGAGTTTAAATATTTGTGCTTTGCTTATCATTTGTTGTTGTTGTTTTGGTCTATGTTGGAACTCAATCCAGCTTTAAAATTTGATACAGGATATTTTATTGTGTCTTTGTGAAACTACACTGTGTTGAACTACCTGCTTTGCTTAGCTGCAAGTTCTACAAATGTCTAAAAGAAAGAAGCAGTTTGTTTAGATGTGCAGTTTTCTAATTGATGTAAGGGGCTATAATGTCTGGAAATATTTGAGGGATTAAAAACAGTCCATGTTACAATGTTCACAATCTTGTTGCTGACTGGTGGTTGTCTTTGTTATTTGAATAAATGCTTGAAAGAAATGTTACCTTTATTTTATATCATCTAAATTGTTATAAAAGTGTTTATTCTGGGCCATTCATACTTCATCAGCATGTTCTGAAAGGTGAATTATCCCCATAAATCGATACATCCGCCATTGTAAGACTTTTCCCTACAGGCAGCACTGACCCAGTAGTTTGGTTTAACTCATATTACAGTCAAACAGATGCCAATAAATTGATATGCCATGCTGCAGGATATGACCCATTACTTAACAAATGAGCAGTAGGACTCGGTCTGAATAAATTCTGTGTAACTGGGTCCATTGCCACTTGTTTTTCAACACCAGGAAAAAATGTGCAAGTTGATGTATTTCATCAATTAGCAAGAGATTAAACTATGCAGACCAATGCAATACTGTGTTCTGTTTTTGATACATTTGCCTACGTTGCATTACAAAGTCAATTGCGGAAACAAGTTTGAGGAAGTTTGTACTACTCCCATTTCTAGCTATGAATTTGTGGTTATCTTCATTAAAAGCCCTATAAATAAGTATGTGCTGTCTGCTTTATCATTCTTTCTGTTTTATTATGAGCCATCTGCCCTTTTTCCATGGTATTGGTGTTCAGTAGCACTGTTTACCAGAAGTACCAATAATATAAAAGTCATCTTATGAGGAAATACTGACCCATGTGCAGTTTGATGTTTCCTCATTTCTTCCAGGTCTCTAAACGTTTTACGAAAGTTGCTTTTCCTACTTCATCATGTACACCTGTTATGATCCCAGATTTTTCACGCTCCTCCAGTTTCATCCTTTGCGTTTCACTTTCTATAACTTGTTGTGTGACTTGATCACTTTGCACTCTGACTTCCTTTTTAATGGCAGCTAGTGTTAAATGAGCAGAGAAGGTGGGTTTTTGCTAGATTTGCTCATGGATGTGTTTACGCATATAATTTTGACACTGCTTCTGAAGTGTGACAGATCAGGAACTTCAGAGGGTTTTTCATTACAAAACATGATGAATCCAAAAACTTAGTATGTCATGTTCTACACTATAAAGCTTCACCAGTAGTCTCGCCCAGTGAAACATTCTGATGATCCACAGGGTTTAAACTTAGCAACAAACTTCCCAAAAGGAGAGTGGAGATGTTGCTTCATACTCTATGTTATACTGATGACCTACAGTATATGTGACTTTTTCAGCTCAGTGGAGTTCCTAATACCTCAACGATGCTGTAAATAGTTCAACAACTTGGAGCCTTGTCCCATGCCGAAGAGTGTTTTGGTTAATATGACCTAGTACCTTTAAGGTTAGCTATATGTATGTTTCCACCAAGCTTAAATGTCTGGGACAACAATACAAGATCATTCATTATTTAAGAGTGAGAGCACTGCCAGTCCAGTTTCTCCGTTGTTAAAATCAATGTAGTACCTCGTTTGCAGTGAATGTTTTTTTTTTTTTTTCATTTGGCTTGCATCCAAAATGTCCCCTTGCTGGAACCTCAGCGGTGCAGCTTTGAATCAATGTAAATCTGGAACACAAAATCATTTATATTTAAACTACAGGCAAAAAATTGGGTCAGAAAAGTGAGTATGTCCAAATATCATTAAAACATGCATGAAGTAATCAGTGTTACTCACTGAAGATCTTATTTGAAGGGATTTGCAAAAAGAGTGGAGAACTGCAGCAGCAGGACTGTATCCTCTTATTGTACTTTCTGCCTATAGTGTTAACACTTTCTTCAAGCATGTGTCAAAATATAAAAATTATGTATTCTCATCTGAATGAGACAGGTAGGCATGAAGAGAATAGTAAGTGGGTTCTTTGCGAAGGAGGAAAGGGGCCAACCCGCTTACAAATTGCAAGTAAACAAACAGAGACGGCCAATGGCTGAGCCACAGCCAACATCTTTGAGACGTAGGGACGAAAGAGCCCAACAGAGGAAGAAATGCTGTAGGAGGGGTGCATTCCTTTCCACATAATTAGGTTTCATTGCCTTTGCTAGTATCATATCTCTTTCCTTTATCTTTCTTCTCAGCATGTTTGTTTTCCTCACCATTCTATTACCAAGTGATTTCCAGCATCAAGCTTCAGGACTCAGGCTTCTCTGTCAAAGAGAGGAGAAAAGAATGAATCATGAAATTCGCTGTTAAAACATCTCAGGGTTGAGATGGTGAGATGATAAGATCCCTGACATTTCCTTTGAACTTTAGCTGCTTTTAGCTCCTGCCACAAGTTGTTGGGGACAACTAGCTAACTAAAAAAAAAAGAAAAAAAAAAGGAAAAAGAAAACAAGCAGTAAAACCTTATCTAACCTTACATATAAACATTAACCCAAATGGATTCCAGATTTCCTTTTAAATAAATAAATAACTACAAACCGAAAGTCATTCCTCTCACCTTTTCTACAATGCTCTCACTCTTGGGAAAGTTACACGATTGTACACACAAAGGTCTAAAGTGTATTTTGTTTCTTAAAGGGTGCCTTTTTTTACAAACAAAAACCTGGAAAATGTTAGATACAATCCCCTTTTTTATACCCTTACATGAAATATCATCAGAGGACGGGGGTCTAAATATATGCACTCCACAATTATTAGATTTATAAACAAATATTTATAATACATTTATCATTTCACTGAACAACTACACACAACTTTGTGTTGGCTTCCTGTAAAAAAAACACACACACAAAAAAAAAACATGCAACTTATGGGTGTACCATGACAAAGACTATATGACAACCTTTACAAGGCACTCCACAAAATCTTTTTTTTTTTAAGAGCTGGGATCCAATACGACACAAATACTGTACACATCAGTGTGCACCCATAAAATCCCAACAAAATACATTAAGGTTGTGCTGTTCTAACATGCCAAAACATGACAAAGTTCAGTGGGTGCTACTTTTAAAAAGGCTCAGAGTGTTTTTTTTTTTTTTTTGTTTTCCTATCAACTGCCTCCTTTTGGATCTTTTTTTGTGTGTGTGATCGATGCTGTGGAATCTGCTGCATCACTGAAGACTCTCTGTTTCTTGCTCCCATCACCTCCCGCCCCCTGCAGCCGGCCCACACAGGCTCTGGCCTCTTCTCCGTCGGAGCCAGACAGAAAGCGGGGCAGGCAGGGCTTGCTATGCAAATATAGCCTGAGTAGGCGGCAGCCCCTGAGCAGAGTGTGCAGCAATGTGAGAACTCTCGCAGACCCCGCCTACATCGGTCAGTTGCTAAGCAACCACCTGCAAAGAGGGAGGGAGCGGAGGGGAGGGGCCATCAATTCAACAACTGTTGCCTGATCTGAGCTCTCTCTCTCTCACTGTGTGAATGCAAGTAAGCCGGCGAGCCAGTTAGCGACCGAGAGGAAGTGTGTGAGGGTGATAGGTGCAGAGTGTGTGCTTGATGTGTGCGTGCGTGCGTGTGTGTGTGTGTGTGTGAGAGAGAGGGAGAGAGAGACAGAGACAGAGAAAGGCAGTTGCACTTTGTGTCGGTGCAGGAAAGAAAGCCAGGCAGCCGGTGCAGTGCTTCACATCCTGCACCCTCCTCTGCCTCTCCGACGACTGAACCACTACCGGGGACTCACTCTGTGGACTATTCCGACGGCTTTCCTCTCCACTCGCCTTTGAAGGGAACACCTGTGTGTGTCGAGAGAGAGAGACAGAGAGAGAGAGCGAGGAGACTCCGCGGACTTGGCCCCTGAGAGCAGGGCGGGTGGATGACTTCAGTGGATGAGGGTTTGGTCGGTGGAAAGAGGGAGCCTGCTACTGAACATGGGCTCCCCTCCGTAGTTGACGGGGTAAGAGACCTGAATGCACCCAGCCTGCTGAAATGTGGGGGTGATGAAATATTACTTGACAGAATGAGAACAAAACACAGAATCGGGTCATTAGAGAGGGTTTTAGAGGAAACACGACCAAAGCAGTGACTGCTTGTGTTGGTGGGGGAGTTGAGAAGGATCTGTGGGTCCATTGTGGCCCCGGTTTGTGTCTGAATGAATGTGGTTGTTAAACATTGTTGACCCTGCCCCACAGCCTGCCACTCCTTCTTTCTCAGCTGTTGGGGTTTCATCCCTCTCACACAACATGTCTCTTTAGTCCACTCACTTTTCATCAGTGTCTTCTTTCCTTAGTATTGTTGTTTTCTCTCTTCCTTCCCTGTTCTGTTTCATTTGGCTGTCCAACATCTTTGCTGATGGTAATGGGATTAATTGGAAATTAGGGTTGCTGGGGAACAACAGGGAATAACGGCAAGTGAGTGAAAGAAATGTGACAGGTGCGGGACTTCGTATCCAGGTAGATTAGTTGTGGAGGAAAGACGAGAGAGGAAATGGGATAACAGGTTTGTTGACTTTAAAAACATCATGTTGGACCTAAATGAGCATTTTTTTTAGTGAGTTTGGATTCCATGCATTTCGTCTTAATGTGACATACTGGTTTAAAACCTTTCGCATTTATTTTCAAATGAATTTTAGCGCTTTTAGATGCACCCACTTGTCCATCCGTAAGAGTATCCCAATGATTCATTAATGATGTTACTAAGCTCATACTGAAAGAATAGCATGTCAGAACTCAAATTTGATTTTGCATTTATATTTTCATGTGTTAAATTTATTTGTGACCGGATGGTCATAGGTTTTGAAAGTCTAATTGCAAAGAAGTAGCTCTGATCATACATCTTATTAAAGATATTGCTCTGTCTTGTATTTTGTCACCCACAATTGTCCACAAATGATGGTAACTCTGGTCAGGACGTCCGAGATTTGTTCTGTGGGATTTTGCCAAAGCACAGAGATTTTAACAAGTGCACTGAAAGGTAAGACCCCTGGCATTTCTGCTTTGTTTTTTGTATTTAGCTTAAATTAGATCACAGAGCGCCCAAAAGCCACAATGTCTGACTTTAACATGGACAGTGAGGTGTTTAAGATGAATTTTAGTTGGAAGTATTTCAACTTTGTGTCTTTGTCAATTTGACTTTCATGAACTCCATCCATGGTGGATGGTGAAGCACACAATAACAGTGAAAACAATTGTTGAATCTATTAATGTTCCCGTTTGAATTTTTACCTCATTTGTTTCTTTGCACATTTGGCATTTGAGTAAATGTTTTTGTGCGACTTGGCTAATTATATAGGGATCATCAAAATATCACGTGATCCTGAAGTCGTGCAGAAAACATTGTTAGTATCTGGAAATAATCTAAGGAATGACCTGATTGTATGGTTTCTATATTTACTTGATTTGAAATCATTCCAAAGGTCTTAAGTTAACCATTCAAGTGTTCTTAATACTGAAATCCCTATTAAATAGTTTGTTATTGCCACATTTTCCAGTGTTCTGGGTGTTACAAGCATACATTTTGAAGTAGAACTTTGATTAAAAATGTGAGAATACAAACAAATGACGATGAAAAATACAATTTGACATCTTCAACAGAACTCTCAAAAGTTTCCCCATGCCTCATGTGATGTAATCAGTGGCGTTTTGTGTGTGTGTGTGTGTTTTGTGTGGAAGCGTATGTTTTGGACTGTATATTTTATAATAATTAACAACAAAATTGCAAAACGAATAAGCTGAAAATGTGTATCTGATTAAACTTGGTTGATTGTACAGAAAATTCAGACTACTAGCTGTAAAATAAAGTATGAAGTAAATCATGTGGATAAGTAACAGTAAAAAGCAACATTTTATCCTCTCTTCAACAACATTTAAACATTTGCCTTTCATATGTGAAGCCGAGCTTTATTTGTATTGTCAATAGCAACCTGTGACGTCAGACAGCACTGTCATTTTGAATACAGCAGGTCTGGGACTGGACATTACATAATGGGATTGGACTCCCTCACCAGAGCAGATTTGCTGGTGATTGTTTCGGGCTTGAAACGGTCCCAGACATCTTTCCCTCAAAATATATTTCCTACGCTTCCTTGCTGTGATTGATTTGAAAATAATTTGATTTTGGCTTCCTAAACGGGACCCGCTGCAGAGCCTGTTTTCTTTGTTAGTGTACAGTATTTCCACAAGGACCAAAATAACTAGATTAAGTCGGTGCTAAGATGTGCCGAGTGGAGGGAGGTTAATCTGCAGTAAGCAAAGCAAAACAAAGACTCGAATACAAAGTGTACATTAGTTTCTAACACGTTGGCATTGAGAAAAAAGAAACGACAATCTGTAGACTAAACAGAGCCACTAACACAGCTACGAGTTTTGACTTTGAGTTTATGTGGAACAACGACAGACGTTCTTACATTTCTGAGTTCACAGGTAACAGCTGACAAGTGACAAGGGCTTCACCACCTGCTGAGTCTGCCAAACCTACAGAGTCCAGCCCTCCTTCACTCCTCCAATCAATGAAGAGCTGAGGTGTGAGGGTGTGGGTGCTGCTTGACACCCCCCGCATCCCTCTCCAAGAGAGCGTCAACGCAGTTTGTGAAAAGCTGTGATGACACAAAAAGAGACAACACCTTTCAGCTGTCTTTGACAGATGGGATACAAATTCAGGCGGTACTGAGACGAGCAGTATAGAGCTGAATGTTGTTCACATGTCCAGTCATGCATTCAGGAATCAAGCCTTGGCATTGGATTTCACTCATTAACAAACACACAGCAAACAATACATCAGTGACACTTAAATCGCTCACCAGGAGGATGTATTTCAAGTTCTCCTTGTTTAACGCAACCACACTTTAAGCAGATCTGAACGTGCATGTACGTACACTCTGGTGCATCAGCTAACGTTGGGATTCAAACACGTTTGTTGACTTGAACTGTTGTAGTTTCTCCATCAACCTAATGGTGTAGTCATTTCCTTCTCATTAAGTTGAGTCAAAAGTGAAACATTAAATGTGGTGCACAGTCTTCCCCATTCTGGCGGTTTCACATGTGTAACTGAACTGGGTTTTGTTTACTATACCGCCACTCAGCCTTCATTGGGCCTCAGCAGTCCCTCCCTACATTGTCCCTTTGTTCATTCCAGCATTCCTGGTAATCCAAGCAGCTACCTGGCTGATGGTCTCTTACTGTAATGTACCATTCAGTCTGAATGTAAGAAAAAAGAAAAAAAAAAGTTCTCTCAATCTTCGTAGTCGTGCGATTCTGTTCAGTTAGCATGTCGGACGTTTGCTGAAATTGAAGTTTCTTAGTGTTTGGCATGATGGTAGCAAAATATGAGTCATTGTTTCCCGTTTGTGTAATGTGTTGGTGTGCTCATGCGTAGGAAGAGCGTTGCCTTGCAGAGGAGCAGTATAATATGGATCCAAAGGGAGATACATGCACAAAAACACAAGCTGTCCTGTATCAGCCTGTCTAGGAAAAACTAGAGTGGAGATAATTGTCGAGGTACGATGATGGTTGCGGATATGGGAAAAAAAAGGCTTCAAATGTTGTTGGGTAATTTTATATTTAAAATACTAGAAAATTCCAACCTTTAAATTAAAAAGTGGAGGATATACCTGTGGTTAAAAGGTGGTTTAAACAAAATCACCAGCGTCATAAATATATTCCCTTATGTCAGTGTTTGGTGCAACTGCCTTTTACCAAACATGGCAGCTGTTTGCATTCCAATGCTGACCCATTTTCAGTTTTGTGGTACTTTTCCTCATGTTTTTATATTGGCATGTCCTATTATTTCAAAACTCTAAGGACGATTCAACGGGCTCTTGGATGACAAACATGCCCACAGCATCACATATCCTCCACCATACCCAATTCTGGGCATGAAGTGCTTTTCCACACATTGATCTTTTGTTTCATGCCAAATGCATCTGGAGTGTTAGTCCATGCATGTGAATACAGATAGTCTTATCAACTTAAAAAAGTGAAGTATAAATTTATAAAATGTTTAAGTTGCTTTAATTTCAAAAGAGTTGCTGAGGGGAACCAATAAATGTGATTATGCAATGCACCAAAAACTGGGATTTTTATTATTATTTTTTTACCTACTGGATAATTGTAAAAACTGCATTTTTTTCTTTTCTTTTTTTTTTTAACTTTTTTCAGGGTAAAACTATGCAATGAATCTTATGTAATTAACTCAATATTAATATGGCAGAAATATTAATGTGATTATTCTATATACCAATTGAAGGCCCACAAAACACTATTTATTCATTTGACTTGAACTTGAGTGTATAATTTTTTTATTGTAGCTTATTCAGTTTCTCTTATAGGCTTGCTTGTCATTTAAAAATGTGACTAAATACTTAGAAACACAGTGGGATGTGTAAATGACTTGCATATTTACTTGGGGGGGAAAAAAATCCCTTGTGAAGGCTTTGGATTTAAAGTGGCCTTAAATGTTCAGAAAAGCCTAATGGGCTTCTCTGTCCCAGAGCTTCTTACTGTCATCTGACTGGATCCAGGACTTTGCGGCAGCCAGATTTAACGCCAAATTTCAAAGCAGAGGTTAAACGCTGCACCTTTTAAGTTAGTTTTGTTGTGGCAGCAATTCAGGAGCTTAGAAGAATGGTGAAGAAGAGGGGAAACGAACAAAGAGGGAAAGATGCAGGAAACACCTCTGCAGAGAAATGCCTCGTCTCTCTACTCTGCCCGACAAACACCAGCAGGGAGACACTGCTGCCATCAGTCTGTCGTTTCCTCAATCCCTCCATCTTTTCTCTCTTTTATCCCACCCTTTTCAGCCTCTTTTTTCTGCTCAATCCTTTTCCTGCTGACTCACACTAATTCGAAGCACCAGCACAGTGAGTCGATAAACCGATGCAAGTTTATCTGACCGTTCATTGATGTTTCACTGAGATGTTGCTCTCCTCCTTTGTTGAGTCCGTTCTGTTTTTCTTGCTAA